TTAGTCTTCTCAAGAAATTCTGACCACAACTTGGTCTTCTTAAGAAAATCTTTTACAAAGATAAACTAATAATGTGTTTAAGACGTGCTTCTAAAAAAGCTATATCACAACAATGATTTTTACACAAGTTAAAGAACGAAATACAACTATTCTAGCTTGAAGAATATTTGAATGATTTGTTTGCCAAGTGATTTTTCAATAGTTTCGTCAATCTTGAAGTGATTCTTAGACTTGCTTTTATAGTACTTTGAAATCCATTTCTCAAAAACTGTACAATCTGTGCATTCTGTTCTTTTTGTCTTCTCTTGACTTTTCCTTTCTAAAAAGGGGAATGTTCAGACAAATCCTTTTTGTCTGAAATCCTGTGTCAAGCACGAATAAGGAAAGAGCCATTTGGATAATGACAAGGAATATGCCAACAGATCTTTATTTGAACAACATCTTCTTCAACAACTTTAGAACGCCTTGCACCAGAACTCCTGATGATGTTCATAGTTCTTCAGATCAGAGTTAACTCAATCAGAGTTTCTCTATCAGAGTTTGCAGCCAAGTGCTTTAAGCATAAAATTCTTTATCAGAGCATACTTGCTTATCAGAGCTTTTGTACTTGCAGCTTTGAGTACTTCTAGAGTCTTTTGAAGCTTTACGTATGTTCTTTACTTAAGTTCTTCTTAGCTTCGCTCAGAGTCATTGTAGCAGATCAGAGTCGTCTGATGTGTTGCTTCTGACGCTCAGAGCTTTCTCGTTCTTTAGTGTTCAAAGGCGTTCTTGCTTTCAGAATAATATTAATTATAATATCTGAAACAAATAAACACTTGAACAAAATTAGAGTATATAAATTCTCTATACAAAATTTCATTAATGTTATCATCAAAACAATGAGATATATTAAACACCAATCTGTGTTCTAACACTTTTCTCACTTTTTAGAAACATATATTATATTTTTCAGCATAGAACTTTATCTCTCTTCATTCCAAGCACATACTTGAGAGAGAAACGCGAACCCTAAGAGGGAGAAGGTAAGATATTTGAGTTCTTATTAGGGTTTGGGTGTATTGTTTTGATACCTTATGTATTTTATCTAATATATGTTTGTGAACTAGTTTTGATTCATTATTGATGTTGTCTTTGATTTCTTATTTGTGGGTCTTGACAAAACCTTTTTTAAATCTTTGATCTTAAATATTCATTTATCAATGAGCAAACTTTTGACATTGTCTTGTAAATTGATATTCACTAGTGTCACTTTTATTTTATTGTGTTGATTAGTAGCATGAGTAGGATCAATACGGTAAAGACCACGATAACGTTTTTGACGTGAATGGTATTGTAAGGATGCTTGATAATAGTGATGAAGAACTATGTTCACATATATTTGGCAAATCAGGTGAATGCATGTAAAAAGGGTTAAGCGTATGTACGTATTCTGATCATGGCGTTTATGTGAAGCAATCATGAATCTGATATGGGTGTCATATTTGAATACATGTTAGATTCTAGACTCTAAATATAGATTTGGGCTTAGCATTTGCATGAGTATCAGTTCTTAATGCTCTGTGTTGTTGAGTTGCGTTAGACATCACCAATGAGGTAATATAGTTGTTCTCTCAACTTTGCATTAGACATAATCTCGGTTGTGGGTGATACGTGAGAATATTATACTAATGATTGATTTGTGTTTAACTAGTTAGAAGAATATATGTGTTATCAATTGATGAGATCCAATCCCAACAAGGCTCCATTTATATTTTAGTATTTACTTTATATTTTTCGTCTTTATATTTTCAGCTTTTATCTATTATATGTTTGATCTTTTAATCAATTTTTCACCATAAGCTCAGAAATATAGAGATTGTTGAATGATATTTTTTCCCTTGCACCAATCCTTGTGGAGATGATATAAATCCCGGAGAGAATTCTTCCAAATCTAAATTTTTGCTTCTTGCCGCTATGCTGCAGTTCGAACACATATGCATCAAGTTTTTCCATAAAATAAACACTTTAATTTTCTTTACAGAAAGTGTGGATTACTTGAAACATAATGTTTTCAAATAAAATGTCCTTAACAATTTGGATCAACACAACATATGTGTAATACTTGTTCAAGATATTTTCGATAAGGCTGATATTGAGGGAAGAATATATGTAGCAAGCCAAGTAAATAATGGTCAAACCTTTGGCTTGAGGGAGACCTTTATGAATGGTCCAAAGTTCTACTTGGAGGATATCTGAAGAGTTCAAGATGAATCTAGAGATACAATTTTTCCATGTTCCAAATCATACGTGAAAGGTAACACTAAATACCGTACGGGTTGGCGTACCAATACAACTTCCATTAACATTAATAATGATGCACGTATAGTTAGGGAGTTACAATTAATGAAACAGTTGTCGGGTTGCCCTATTTAAGGTTTAGTGAAGCAAATACGAAAGTAATTTGCCATGGAATGGGCAACCAAGGAGAGTCGATATGTATGTTGAGTTACAATTTCTCCAAGCCAACCAAACTTCTGTGACAAAGAGGTTATGACAAGTACCATGACTCTCATTTTTTATCCAAGCTTTTCCATCTCGAGTCAAGAAAAATTTGAATGATTAAATCCAAGATACAACCAAAGGTTTCTATAATTTCTACAATCACAAACACATTGAAGGAATGACTCCTCTTCTAGACCGCATATAGAACACATAGCTAAGAGGACCATGTTGTGATGATGAATCAAATAGAGTATGGACAAATTTGTGAGAAGCAAGCCAAAGAAGGAACTTGATCTTTTCTAAAAGGAAGAGTTTCCAAGTCCAATTTCATGGTTGAGGCTCCAAATTAGGATTAAGTAAATATTATTTGTTGCGAAGGATCCAAGTGTAACCACTCGTAGATGTGTATGTTTCACTAATGTGATTAGACCAAATGAAGACATCTTATGTATTGCGGTTGAAGATAGGAATTTTGGTAGTAATATCAATGATGATATTTTGGGGAAACTGAGTATACAAGTGATGGATATCGGGAGATGTCGTAAATTTGAAATATTTAACTAATAGATTAATGTCATGGATAGGAACATACTCAACAAGAGTATTTAAGGGACCAAGAGAAGTCTAGTGGCTATACTAGAAAGAAGAGGATTCTGACTCTGAGTCTCTAGTCAAACCTATCTTTTAGCACATTCTTCGCTTTGATAATATATTTCTAGGTGGAAGAACTTGTAGTATATGAAAGGGAGAGTAAATGTGCACAAGATAAATACTTTTGGAAAAGGAGACATAGCCATAATTTATGAGTATTTTAAAGGATATCCCAAACAAGTGCATCAAGGTGGGCTGTGTTGGAATCTCTAATGGATCAAACCTCTAAGTCACCTAATTTCTTTGAGCTTGTGATTTTTTCCAGCCAACCAAATGAATACCCATGGTGTTAGTACTCTTCCAAATAAAGCTACAAGTCATACAATCAATAGTGTCATATATGTTGTGAAAATGCATAGTGGTTTACATGTAGTAAAGGGTGGAGGTGTGAACTGATGTAGAAAAGGATAATCTACTAAGCTTGTTAAGAAGCTTATTTTTCCAGGAAGCCATTCGTGTTTTCAAAATGAAATTGAAATCAAATATTTTAGCTCTACCTATAAGAATAGGAAAATCAAGATATTTATTCATATAAGTAGTACTCCGAATGACCAAGATTTTAGTCAGTTGATTGATTTTTGTTTGAGGGATGCTAGAAGAGTATAAAATATTTAACTTAGTAAGGTTGATCTTCAGAAGTTATGTTCGACTAATTTTTTCCATGAGTGTGACAATATATCTTATGCAAGGCTTCTTAGCTTTTGTGAACATGAGAGCAACATCTGGAAAAAAAAGATATAATATATGGGGTCCATTGTTAGAAATGAAAATATAATTCCAAGAACCACTATGAACATCGTCAGTGATGGAAATAGAAAGTTTCTCCATGCAAATGACGAAAAGGTAATGAGATAACAAATCTCCTTGCTGAAAATTGTGGGAAGACATCTTATTTCCATTCCATTATAGAGATTGATTCAGTGAATTTTGTTTCTCTTTCTTCTTATTTTGGTTTGAGCTTGAAAGAAGGAAATATTTTTGTCATCAAATTTGATCTATTTGTTATAAGGCTTTTGGAACCATTGAGTTTCCTCCTGACAAAGGATGTGGTTGAAATCTCTTTGTAGTTATTGCTCCAACTGAACATGATAAAGATAACCAACTCTCTCTATATAGTTCAAAATTCCTTTGAGTCTGACTTCGATGTGTTTATTCCGACAAAAGATGTTGCCAAAGTCATTCTAGTTTAAAGTAGTATAGTCTTCATGCACTTTCTTAAGAATCCATATGACTAATGTTGGTGGAATAGTAAGCATGTACAACTACGTTATAATACTCTTCATGATCAATCCAAATTGTCTCAAAATGGAAGGATATCAGTCCCCTCAATAGAGAAAGGCCGCCAAAGCAAAGGAGGATTAGATTGTGGATCAAAGTGTAATCTGCAAAGACAAAAACAAGGTGCCAAGGAATATTAGCCAAACCACAATGATACCTTTTAGAGAGGATTTTGTATCCATGATTGTTACAGTGATAAAGTGGCCCCCAGTTGTAGATAGATCTGCTAAGTTACCAGTATCGAAGAAATTAACAAAATTACAAGTCTTGTTGAAGTCTCCAATAATGATACTTATTTAAAATGAAGAGAAATATATTTTGAAAACAAAGACATGTCAATACTTCTCTAGGTGTATATTAGAAAACAAGCGTGAAAATAATAATAAGTCCAATTTCTCAAGGATCCATTCTTTAGATACATGGGCCAAACGAGACGAGCCCGTTTTCACACCAACAATCAGCCATTGTAGCTGGGAAAGAAAAAAAATCATCGTCTTCCCAAAATCTCAACACCAGTTTTTGTTTCATTTCATCATTTCACAGATCAGAGGAAGAGAAATTGAATTGATTCGGCACATCAGGTGTGAAAAATGGGTGCAGATGAAGTACAGCTTGACGATAAAGCCAAGAGAATGCGCGATCTGTTATCCAGTTTCTACTCTCCAGACCCTTCCATCTCTTCTAACTCCACCGGCATCACTTCCCCCAAACACGCTTCTATCGACGACATTAACTCCTCTGAATTTGATCCCGATCAGTACATGAACATACTCGTAATCTATTCTCCCCCTTTCCATAATTCATCTCTATAATTTGATTTCGTTTTCGTTAAATTGAACTAGTTAATCGATTTATTTGATAGGTATATAAGTCCAATTTGGAAGGCTTACTTCAGCGACATGTTGAAATGGCTGCTGAAATTAAGAATCTCGATACTGATTTACAAATGCTTGTTTACGAGAATTATAACAAGTTCATTAGCGCTACAGATACTATAAAGAGGTGTTTTGATCACTGTTTTTCTCTTGATTTGTTTAGAGTGTGTGTTGTGTGAATGAAAGAATCGTTATCGTTTGCTTTTGTTGAACAGAATGAAAAGTAACATTTCAGGGATGGAGACTAATATGGAACAGCTTCTTGACAAGGTAACAGTAGCTTTAGTTTTATAGAGTTCAATTCTTTGTTATCGAAAAGAAGAAAATGAAAAGATGAAGATAAGAGATTTGAGTTTGATAGGAATCCACATTTTTCCCTGTTGTAGATAATTTCTGTCCAGTCAAGGAGTGACAATGTGAACACTTCATTATTTGACAAAAGGGAGCATATTGAAAAACTTCATAGGACTTGCAATCTTCTTCGGAAAGTTCAGGTACTAAAGCAACTGTGCAGCTTATTGATCACTGAATATTTAGGTTTCCACATATCAAATGTGATGCAAGTTGAGGTTTTGCGAAATGGACCTAACAACGAAAGAATTTCTTGTTTCAGTGTGGTCCCCTGTTGAATGATTTGTCTATATCTTTATGCGTAATAGCTTTATTTTCTTACAAGTGTTTATGTGATATGACTGACACACTTTTCACTCTGTCGAAGAGTAGTTTATATATGATCTTCCTGATAGACTTGCCAAGTGCATCAAGTCAGAGGCGTATGCAGATGCAGTTAGGTTTTACATTGGAGCAACGCCGATTTTTAAGGTTTCTTTTGCCTTTGCATTGTTTCTAATTCATTCCCTTGATTACTTTTAAACGGAACATATCAATCCTGGTCTTAGATGAAATATCTTGGTTGTGTATCCTCTTTGTCAGGCATATGGAGATTCATCGTTTCAGGACTGTAAGCAAGCATCTGAAGAAGCAATAGCTAATGTAATAAGAAACTTGCAGGTATAATTCTAGCATCTTGGCGGGATCTTTAGACATGGGCCAATCAGCCAAATTCAAGCCAGGGGGAGATATGGATTATTTAGTTGTTAAGTTATGAGTATGCTATATTCTATCTCTCTTGTGTCTAGAATAGGCATATCAGTTCATAACATTGTATGGCACCCTTGATGGACATCCATATGCTATCTTATTTAGGTATCAAATTCATAGTAAAATTGGATAGGATTAACTTCTCTTGTGTCTAGAATAGCCATATTAGTTCATAACATGGTATGACACCCTTGATGAATATCCATATGCTATCTTATTTAGGTTTCGAATCCATTGTAAAATTGGACAGGATTAACTTCTCTTGGCATTTGTTAAACCTTTCTAATATAGTTTTCCCAACATGGGCAAAACATATAAACAACTATGAAGGACATTGTGAAACACTAGCCTAATATATAGTGCACTAAGAGGGTTCATCTCATAATGTAACCCTTGTAGAAATAATTCCAAAATAAGAAGACAAGTTATGTCTTTTAAAACTAATAGGGGTCATTTTACGACTATATGTTTCAATGAATAAAGTTTATGTTTCATATATTTTTATTGATTTCAATTTTCGAATGTAATATAGGTTGACTTTTAAAAATTATTTTATTCTTCAATTTTAAAAGTGTCCGATCAAGAGATATTGGCTCATTCTCTTGGTCCATCTCCAAGCATGGCAGTTTGGAGAGATGCCGTGCTTTATGGGATGAGAGTCAACTTTAAATCAATGTTTTGCTGAAATGATGTAATTAGTTTATTAATGTTTTTGTGATTTGATTTCTTTTTCTTTCCCCCTCTCTAACCAGGGGAAGCTATTTTCAGATTCTGAATCAATACAAGTGAGAGCCGAGGCTGCAATGCTCCTTAAGCAGTTGGATTTTCCGGTTTGTACAGTTTTTTATTTATTTATTTTTTAATTTATGGAATGTCATTTGAATTAGGTAGTATCTGTTTTCTGAATGTTTACTTTTAAAGAACTTCCCTTATGACGTGAAATACTTCTTTTTGTTGATCTGTATGGTGAATTTTGGATCTTTCATGTCCCTCCTTTCAATAGAGAGAATGAACATTATTTTTTTAGGTGTTATTGGTTGAGTTTATAATTTATTTGATAGTTGGTTTTCTATTTGTTGGCAGGTGAACAACTTGAAGTCACAGTTACTTGAGAAATTAGAACAATCCATCAGAGACATTCAGCTGAGCCCCGAGGAAATAAACAATACTTCGGGAGACTCTTCTCCTTCACCATCTGCTCACAAGGTAAGTAGTAGCAGAACAGTATGTTTTTGTTTATTGTCCTCCTTCCTTGCCCCTTTAATTGTTGTTTCACTATCCTATCTTTGTTACTTAAGATGTTGACAGCAAACAGCATTAAAATTATGTATCTTAATAAACCATTTCAATCAAGATAGTGATGATTCTGTGAAATAATATATACGGCTCTGATCTGAACAATGTGGATGCCTATCTGAGGAGTACATCCAGTACATCCTTATAGAAGATAGATTAATGCTGCACTCTATGAGAAGATGATTTGTGTGAGAGGTTCATGTGATGTAATTGAATATTGCCGACTCAGCAAATAACAGGAAATAAAAAATAGTATCACATATAGTATGAGAGACTTGCTATTCAAACACAGTACCAAACATCAATCCCAGACACTGTATGCCATCATGAAGAAAATACTCATCAAATCTGTATGGGCACGGATTCCAAGGTGGATGGAAAATATATAAAAAATTCAACAGCCGTATTTATGCGCTGTAGATGTCACTTTTGTGTTTAATAAGCATATCTCATAGTATGATGGTCGTATCGTAGGCTAATTATCTGCCACAAAATGGATTAATGGAATATTTATAATTATAGGATGACTGTTCTGATTATATCCAAAAGCCTTTTTTTCTTCTAACATATCCTAATTTACTTTCACTTGTACATATGTTTTATTTCATATCTTATGTTACGAGACTGATAAATTAAAACTGTTTCTCTTCCATTTCGTATCATAGGTAACAACTCATGAATTTATGGAGGCAGTTCGTGCTCTTTTAGTCATATTTCCGGATTCAGAAAAGCAGTTGATCAAACTCGCTCAAGATTTGGTTACTAAGTTAGTATTTTTGTCTACCATAGGCAGCCAATTTATCCACTGCTGGTAAAATTTGTATATTATGCTCATTTTTTCAATGTTTGCTAGGAATTTTGTAATTGCAAAGGAATATGTACAGACACGGATTCACCCAGCAGATCTACTCGGTGTTCTTCGTAAGGAATACAACTTTGCTACTTTCTCAATTTCTAGACATATGCTTGGTGGCTTTTTAGTTTTACTTTTAGTTCCACATTAAGTAGACATGCCACAATGATCTTTTAATCCCGTGTCTATTATATAATATGTAAGTTTTGTTTAAATGGAAAATAATCGTTTTTTTAGTCCAATTTAACTTGGCAAATGATTTTTTAAGTAAAAACTAACACTTCTGTTTTAAATATGTTCATAAAATATCAAGCAATCTAGATTAGTTTCTTAGAGACCTGAATGTTTTGAAAGTGGCCTGTACTTTCCATGAATGCACCACCATGTTCTCCTGGATCATATGCATCCATTTGGTTTTGTTGTCTTTCTGGATGCCTTTATTGCAATGCAGTGTTTGTTTAACTATGTGTCTTTGATGATTTATTAGGACCACAAAAAATACAGTCATTTACCCCACCTTTCGCTGTTATATATGCATCCTGTATATTTTGTGTTATATATGTGGCCTGACTATGATATCTTAAAATGATATTTACAGGAGTTGTTTGGAATGATGTACTTCTGATAGATGAAGTCTTGCCGGAAGCAACTCTCTCTAACCATTCTCTTCAGGTTATCCATTGATGTCATTGGCTCAAATTTGATTCTGACCTGAGCTGTAGTTTTTCAATTCTACTTCCTGTTTTTCTCAGAGTAATAAATTTGAAGCCTATGTTAGAAAATAGATTTTCATCAACCAACCCTGAATATTTGTAGGCTGCAAGTGCTGTTGTTACGGTGTATGTTAGAAGTGCATTTTATCATCTTCTGCAAGACATCTCAGGTTTGTTCTAACTTCTATTTCTTGGATTAAGAATGCTGCCAATCTTTAGTTTCAGCTCTAAGTTTGAAATATTTATCCTACCATATCGTAGGAGAATTACAAAATGTTGAAACTGAAAAACTTTGCCCCAAGCTGAATGCTTGTTTTTAAAAATGTCTAAATCACAAAATGGTGTTTATTATGTTGTGCCTGGATCTTTTTTGATGTTTAACATGTAGTCATGTCACATGATTGCTCGTGGAAAAATGTTAGAAATTTTGCATTTATAACTATGCTGAGTTGGCTTCTGATTAATAGATTCCTTCTCACAAGTCCTGAAAAAGGAGGGAGCAGATCAGTACTCTCTTGAAGCTGTTCTTGATGCTAGTAGAAAAGCAGTTCTGCAAGGAGGCATGAACGTCTTGCTGGTGAGCACTTTTTATGCTCAGACTAGTCTAACTAATTGATTTAATGTAATCATCTATGCAAGCTTGCAATGCTATTGTGTAGAGTTTCTGTTATTTATGTTTTAATGTGTTTCATTTACAATTTATCTCCCTTCAGGACTTTCGCAAAATTTTAGATGATGACTCCGGGATCTTAGTTAGGCTAAGAGAGTTATTTGTTGATTTGGTTCAAGAAGGATTTCAAGACTTCTTTAGGCAACTTGAAGATCAATTCCTCCTAATTTCGGGAAGGAATAATTCTTCAGCTATTCAAGTTCATGGTTTGGTGGCAGAGGGAGCTATTGTTGAAAAAGCTTTTCCTGGCCTTGTCCTAGTGCTGGCACAATTGTCTGCTTTTATTGAACAAACTGTCATCCCCAAAATCACTGAGGCAAAGATCCAATTTATAGACTTAGATTTGATTTCTGAAGTTGGATCAATTTGTGTGGTTATTTTTGCTTCCATATCCTCACTGAGTATTCCTTATAATTTTCCCTGTATCTTCAGGAAATAGCTGCTTCCTTTTCTGGTGGCAGTGTTAGAGGCTATGAATCTAGACCTGCATTTGTTCCTGGAGAAATCTGTAGAAATTTCCGCTCAGCTGGTGAAAAATTCCTGCACCTGGTATGCTTAAAATTTCATATACTCTTTTCAATGGAATTGTAGTTCACGTGACAACTCTGTATATAGTCCTAGACTGTATTTGTTAGTAACCAAAGAAATTCAGAATCAATGAAATGAAAATAAAGGCTTAATTCATTATTAAATGGGTAGTTAATGGACAGCAGGGAAGACAATTTAGCTGTAACGTTCACCAGTGTGGTTTATTTTAGGGTCCGATTGATTAGACAAAACAGTACAAGACAAACCTTTTAGTTACTAGACAACTTTTCATGTTGTATGGTGTTATCTTTATGAATGTAAATCTTAATAAATTAGAGTGAGAGAAAGAAAGGATACAACGAGGAAGAGGAAGAGAGGGGAGAGAAGAGATGAGTGAGAGTTGGAGGTAACAGAGAGATAAGAGATGATATTTAGAGTAGAAAATAAAAATGGTAGTTTAGATAGCTTGTACTTGGGACCAAAAGTTGTCTTGTGGTTTAGTAAGAGACAAAATTCATGTTTTTTTTTCCGATTCTCTTGCCCCCTATTTCGTCGGGTCTCATGCTTGGTTCTAAATCAAACAGGGTACAGTAAGAGTTGTCATGTCCTGTTCCTTATTTTTTTAGCAAATCAAACACATCCTTAAAGTACTTGTCTAGTTTGATTTCCAAAGAAACTAGCAAGCTTCACTTCTGTTTTGTTTTTTTTGTTTTGCAGTGTTCTTCCCTCGAGTGTTTTGGTTTTGGATGATATTTAATCTCATTCTACTGTTTAAGCATCATTTACGTATACTGTTTGATTCTTTTCAGTACATAAATATGAGAACTCAAAGGATTTCACTTATCCTGAAGAAGAGGTTTACAACGCCTAATTGGGTTAAGGTCAGGCTCTTATATGCTCTTCATTAAAAAAAATAGATTGGTGATTATCTATGAAAGAGCATTCTAAAGATTATTATTTACTTTATACAGCATAAGGAGCCAAGAGAAGTGCACATGTTTGTTGATTTTTTTCTTCAAGAGGTTGGTATTTGTGTGTTTTCATATCAACCATGATGTTTTCTTTGCCATTGATTATGAAGTCTTGAATATCTTCACTCAAAGATACTATACTACCTCCGTTCCTAATTACACGTCGCATTTGCGGAAATTTTTTATTTTTAATTACTTGTCGTTTTCAAAGTCCAATGCATCATTAATTATAATTTTGTCAATAATACCCTTATTTATTGTAGAGAGAGAGAAATAGACGAAATGAAATAAAAAATAATTAAGTGTATTGGTGTGGAGATCTCCTATTTGTTTTTTCTGTATGCTCGATGTTTCGGCTGTGGTTCTTGTGGTGTGCTTTTGTTTGTTCTTGTCTGTTTGCTGTTTTTCGTTTACCTTTAGCGTTCTAGCTTGACACTTCTTGTGCATGTGTTACCTTGTATTTTTCCGTGGGCTATAGCCTTTTATCTAATATATTATTTTACCATTAAAAAAAAAGTAACAAAAATTTATTGGCTGTCTTAGTCTGTGTAAAAAGTAAAAAAAAACAATGTGTAAAAAGGAACGGAAGGAGTACGAATTAATTGCTGTAAACTTGAGGAAATTTTTGACTTTTCTATTTTCTGTTCCAGCTTGAAGCTATAGTTAATGAAGTGAAGCAGATTTTGCCTCAAGGTACACGAAAGCACCGCAGGACTGATAGTAATGGAAGTAGTGTTTCATCAAGGAGTAATCCCTTGCGGGAGGAGAAACTGGGTAGGTCAAATACTCAAAGGGCAAGGAGCCAGCTTCTGGAAACACATCTAGCAAAACTGTTTAAGCAAAAAGTTGAAATTTTCACAAAAATAGAATATACACAGGTATTGAGAGTGGCTATCAAATCGGCGATTTAAATATAAACATATTGGTGATTTAAATATAAGCAATTGGTTGCAAGCCATGATATCAATTTTGATGACAAACTGCAGGAGTCTGTTGTTACTACTATAGTGAAACTCTGCCTGAAAAGTTTACAAGAATTCGTCCGTCTCCACACTTTTAACAGGAGTGGATTCCAACAAGTTCAACTGGATATCCTGTTCCTGAGGACCCCTTTTAGGGAAATAGTTGAAGATGAAGCTGCAGTCGACTTCTTGCTTGATGAGGTTTGGATAAAGTGTTCATGTGGTTTTAACTTTTCAAATTGGTGTTATGGTTATCCACAGGCTCGAGTTTCTCCCTGTCTTCTCCTATGCCTATTTGATTTGTTTTATTCTTTGAACACAGGTGATTGTTGCTACTGCTGAGCGGTGTCTCGATCCAATTCCATTGGAGCCTCCCATTCTGGACAAACTTATACAAGCAAAGTTGACTAAAACCAAGGAACAGAGCACAACAATCTCTACATAAACATTTTTTTTTACTGGAGGCTACGATGATACGGACATTTCATACATGCTGATATACACACATACACTCTCAATGCTGATATGGACATTTTGTGGTATTCTCTCATCTCATGTAGAATTAGTGATGGCTTGGAAGTTGGTTACTTGCTTGGTTCCTTTTCTGTTCAATTTGTAAATCTCTTGTAACTTTGTGTAATATAATGTCACATTGCATATTGTTAGTAATTTTTAACTATGGAAGCTAGGAAGTTGCATCCGTTCATGACTCGAAACTTCAGTTCTACTCATGATTGGTGATTACATCCAAAAATTCAAACCTTTAGTCTATTTAAAATTTTACTAATAATTTATAGCTTAATATTTCAAGATTTATATACAATTTTGCTTCTCATATTCTATATGAAACATGATTTTAGTACCAATATTTTTAAAACTGGGATTTTAATCTATCTGCTCGTTTTAGATTTTTTTTCTCACAATCCAATTTAAGGTTTATTTTTTGGGATATCTAATTTATATATAGATAGATTAGATATAAGGAAATTTTAACAGATTCATTATGTAATTAATGTATCTAATATATATATATATATATATATATATATATATATATATATATATATATATATATATATATATATATATATATATATATATATATATATATATATATATTTAAATATATTATTTATTTAATAAATTTAAAAAATTAAAATTTGTTTATAAAAGAGAATGGAGAGAGTATTTATTAATGATAAAATTATTGATGATGTGATTATTGATTTGATTTTGGATTTGAAACTGAATTGTAGAAAAAATAAATATACATTGAACTAATGTAATAGAAAAATAAAAGCTTGTGACAGGTTTTCATCCAAATAAGTTTGTTTTATTATTGAATGTACTTTTGCAATATTAATGAAAATGTCACATCGTAAAAGTAAACTTCAAATAGGATTCCGAAAATATTTGAAACTTGTGATACCGAGGATTTAAATTTCCCAGTTTTGAGATGGGGAAGGAAAATAATATTTCAGTTAAATTATGGAGAGAATTTATTTATTTTTAAATAATTTATTTTTTAAAATTTAAATATGAAAATAATATTGTTTTTAAGTTATTTATCAAAATAACATAACAAAGAGGATAGACGATTTGATTTGGAGTGTCTTCATATCTTTGTACACATGCGCCATATCAAATGGCTTGTACATGTACATCAAGCTATATAAAATGACGCCTCCCCTTTGACACATAATGCATGTGCCATTTCATATAGCGCATCCTTATTTTATTTTTTTGACACATAATGCATGCACCATTTTATATGGTGCATCCTTATTTATTTTTTATTCTTAAACCATGTGTGTATGTGTCATTTTATATGGCTACTGCACTATGTTTTTTCCTTTAAATACTGCACCACCTTCTCTTCATTTCTCACATTTTTTCATTTCATTTCTAATAGTTTTCTTCCATTTTTCTTTCAAAATGGCTTCCTCTTCTTCCTTCTCATATCTCTACAAGGTTCTATATATCCACAAGAGAAATGCCGATTTAATTTTCTCGCCAATCAAACCTTCGATGAAGATCCGCCTCTGAAATACATTGACGTTCGAACATCCTAACAAGAGTCTAAACCGCTGGTTAGGTGGAGACATTTCAGAGGGTGAAAATATCAGAAGAATTGAAAGGCTTGTTACTACGTTCAACCAAAATGGTGAAGTTCGTTTATGGGAGAATGTTACAGTTGACAAAGATGTTCAGACATTGATGTATAGTTCTTAGGAAATTGTCTTGATGGTTATAATCACATAGTTATGTTGTTTAGTCTTTGTATTTGTTTGTTTTGTTGTTTAAATTATTGTTACTTGTTGTTTTTAAATTACTGTTATTGAATGTTATGATATTAATGGAATGAAAGTTGTTGTTGATATAAAGAGAAAAGGTTACATTTAAAATTATGATGTTGTGTTTGGTCCAATATTAGGACATTTTATACGTGACGATATGAACTACATAATCTTATCATTTTATTTTTTATATTCATCTTCGTTCGAATATGCGTGCTATTAGGGCGACAATTTATCTTTCTTCGCATAATTTCATTGTTCCAAACAATTTCCCCTTCATATGCAGGCCAATAGTCCTCTTTTGCTACCACTAGAAAGCTAATGTTGTAGACATGGCATAGACTAATGACTTGGTAAACAATTGACAATAAGTTGGAAGGGTCCTGGCGAGCCTTTAAGCATGCTGCTATGACATGAGAGCAAGGCATACGAAAGGTTTGAAACTTTCCACAGTCGCATCAACTTCTATATAGTTCCATTCGGTATGATTCCCTCGGTCTCCCTTCATTGTGATCCATTGACTCATCAACACTGAACCAACCTTTATTGCGTCAAATACTGTGACCACATGTGTGTTAGCTTTGGCAGCTTCCTCCTTAATGAATTTCATTTAACTATTACTGAACAGCTGCCCAGATTGTAAGACAGAACTCCATTTTGAACGTCTAATATCAAAAAGTGCCCCGAGCCTAAAATATGTTGCCCTTACCAAAGCGGTTACCAATAAGTTTATGATGCCTTTGAATATAGAGTTCATTGATTCCACGGGATTTGTTATCATATGGCCTCATCATTGGCTATTGTTGTATACCCTGGTCCACTTCTCCAATTGAATATTGTCGATCCATATTAATGCATCTACGTTTGTCAATTTGATTTCTTCACGGTAGTGTTTGAAGGAAGGTTCTGTTAATGCATACCATGCATTCACAACCTTCTTTTATAGCATCTTGTCTTTGATCTCCCGCGTGAAACTTTGAGCAATGTGTCTAATGTAATAGATATGCGTTGAAGGAGGATCCTGCCAGCCGTTATCAAGATTTTTATATGCATTCCCGATTGATGGATGTTTGTCCGAAATCAAACATAAGTTAGGTTGAGGAGCCACATGTAATCAGAGATTTTTTAGGAAAAAACTCCAACCTCCAGCAATCTCTCATTCAACTAGAGCGAAGGCGATTGGAAAATGATGTTGTTGTCATCTTGTGCCACTACCATGAGTAGCGTTCCTTTATATTTCCCATATAACCATGTTCCATCAATTTATATAATACGTTTACAATAGGCAAAACCTTTGATACATGGTTCAAACGCCCATAAGAGTCGGTGGAATATGTCATTTTCACTAACACAAGTCTCGTTTAAGGTATATACTGGTAAGGTCTCCAAAATGGCAACAGTCCCTAAAGCATATTGTTTAAGTGCCACCAAATATTTTGGAAGTTCTTTGTATGACTCCTCCCAATTTTTTAACACCGTTTCAACCACCTTAGTCCCAGTTATCCATGATTTTCTGTACGACAAAATATAACTATATCTTTGAACGATATGAGAGATTATGGTACTCACCTTCAACAACGGAATTGTCACTAATGACAGACAGAATTTCATTGCATATTAACTGAGAGTTGAGTTTGCGATGATCCAGCATCGGATTGGTGATTATACAAGTGTGCTCTGGACCCATAGGACCTATCTTCCAAGAACCGCTTCTCTTCTGGTAAGATGCTATCAATTGGAACGGGCAGACCTTGTTATGACAATAGATCTTATACAAAGTCACATTCATTCAATCGATCCTATAATCAACTGATAATTCCATGTGATACTATTTTATAGCTCGAACACAGTCTTTTTTTGTTCGAAAATTATCTCCCTCTTTTAATACTCCTTGTGTTTGCATATATGGATTGTAAAAAATATCTAAAGATGGTTCATATGCACCCAAGTTCAGGCTTGTCATGTGTTAAGGTGGACAATAAACATGACTGGTCGGTAATGGATCTTCCTCGTGGTCGATAGTGGAATCGTTTACCATTTCATCAACCCAGACCTCAACTTTTTCTTCTTCTTCGTCTACGACATTGACTTCAGCTTGTTCATCGTCAAATTCGCAAAAAAATTGAGAAGGATCAACAAGTTGAGACATCTGACGTTGTTGTAATATAATATAAAGCTCAATATCATTGAAACCATAATACTCATGTTTGAAAAACATATTATGCACATCTTCTTCATCTTAAATCTTTAACTAGAAAAATTTGACTTGGTTGTCGGCAAAAAACATTGGAATCTTGTAGATGATCTGACCCACTGGACCAAACTGCAATTTCTTTTCTAATCTCACTTTAAAATGGGAACAATTTGATCGTCTATTAATTGAAAACCGAGTAACATCGATATTATGAAAATTGAAATCGGTATTTACAATCAAATATCTCACCATTGTGATGTACATTGATCATTTATTGTGGTGTTTGAGTCATGCCAAATATTTTATTGTACTGGTGTTTGGTAGAATTGTGGTGTAATATTTTAGTGTACTGGTGTATGATAGAATTGTGGTGCAATAAAATTTTAGCTTCATGTGTATTAATAGAATTCTAGTTTAATCTAATCGAGTTTTTTTATATATTATTTTTTAGCCTATAGATGCATTAGTCTTGTCTAAATTATACATGCATTAGTCTTGTCTCAATTATACATGCATTAGTCTTGTCTCAATTATATTTTCTTATCTTCTTACATGCATTAGTCTTGTATCATTTATGACTACTAAGACCCTATTATTGTCTTCTTATTGCATGCATTACATGATTCCTTCATTATGGTTTAGGCTTACAAGACACTATTTAGTAACATGCCTACACTTTTTAGTTTATTAGTTTTGTCTCTCCTAACTTATTTATTTAAAGATATGGTTTCATCTCTCCATAGTTCTTGCTAACTTAGTTTCTTTATATATTTTGTCACGATGTAAGGAGATTTCGATGTCATGTCCATGACTATATACCACAAAACCCAATCATAGAATAATATCTTTCATCATGCGGTTTCGGTCATGTGTTAAACATAGTCTCGTACTCGATTGATACCAAATTTATTCTCGCTTTGTTAGAACGATGGAGACTCGAGACTCACACATTTC